GGGACGGAGCACTGGCAGGGCTGGGGAGAGGGGCCCGGGGAAGTCTGATGGCCGCCCACCGCAGGCTCTGGGTGGTGTTCATCGTGGCGGTGTCGGTGGCCTGGCTGCCCGTGGTGCAGGCGGCCCAAGGCGGGCAGCTCTTCGACTACATCCAGGCCGTCTCCAGCTACCTGGCGCCGCCCGTGTCCGCGGTCTTCGTGCTGGCGCTCTTCGTGCCCCGCGTCAACGAGAAGGTGAGCAGGCGCGGAGCTGTGAACTTGGCACAGGGCCGACCTTACTCAGAGAAGGCTGACGCTCGTCTCCCCCGCAGGGTGCCTTCTGGGGACTGATTGGGGGCCTGCTGATGGGCCTGGCGCGCCTTATTCCCGAGTTTTCCTTTGGCTCGGGCAGCTGCGTCAGGCCCTCCGCGTGCCCGGCACTCCTCTGCGGGGTGCACTACCTCTACTTCGCCATCGTGCTCTTCGTCTGCTCGGGCCTCCTCACCATCGTCATCTCACTGTGCACAGCGCCCATCCCGCGCAAGCACGTAGGTGTCGCCTCTGGACGGCCACCATGTGCCACGTGGGCCAGCGTGGCCCTCTCCGCTGTTTCCAGTAGCTCCCAGGACCACCCAGTGGAGAGGACCCGGTTTCCTATACTGAGGGCTGGTGAGGGCAGGCGGGGAGTCCAGTTTGAAGTCGCATTTGCAAAGCCATCACAATGTTTTCATTTAATGACATTTATTTGAGGTGGTTTGGGGGAGATGGCTTGAAGATTGTAGGGGAAGTGGTTCAAGTTCCCAAAGTCCTTGGCCCGGCCTTTGGGACTCAAAACAGGCTGATGGTGGCTGAGGGGCAGGACACTTTCCTGAAAGCCCACAACAGGGCTTGGTCTTGTGCTGCAGGGCAAGTGCCCAGGGCAGGGCTGGTTGGGGGCCAGAAGGATGGACAGGATTCCACGGGCGGAGAAGTGGGGGGAAGGCCACAGGAGGAAATCCGAGCAAATACCCGCAGGAAGGGACAGCTAGGACTGAGCCTGGAGACTAAGTACTACAATTCTGAGCGGACAGGAGCCTCTGGGTGATGAAGGAGGGCCAAGAGCTTTAAACACCCAGCTGAGGAGCTTGGTTTAGCCCGAGGGGAAAGGGCAGCCAAAGGCCATGTTTGAGTGACTGAGCCTGGCTGTGTACACGCAGGACAGAGGGAGGAAAGGACGTGCCAGTGTGGACAAGAGACATCAGGGCCTGAGGTGGGGAAACAGAACTCCCATTTGGTCCCTGCTCCCCTTCCCCCAGCTCCACCGCCTGGTTTTCAGTCTCCGGCACAGCAAGGAGGAACGGGAGGACCTGGATGCTGAGGACCTGGAAGGTCCGGCCTCAGCCCCTGTACAGAACGGGCGCCCGGAGCACGCGGTGGAGATGGAGGGTGAGGAACAGCCCAGGAGGTGGGGCTGCGGAGCTGAGGGGGGCAAGTTCCCTCACACTAACTGTCGGGCTTCAATTTCTCCCAGAGCCCCAACCCCCAGCACCAGGCCTGCTCCGCCGGTGCCTGCTCTGGTTCTGTGGAATGGGCAGGGGCGGGGCAGGCAGTCCCCCACCCCCCACCCAGGAGGAGGTGGATGCGGCAGCCAGGCGGCTGGAGGACATCAGTGAGGACCCGCACTGGGCCCGTGTGGTCAACCTCAATGCCCTGCTCATGATGGCCGTGGCCACCTTCCTCTGGGGCTTTTATGCCTGAGGCCGACTGTGCTGGGCGCCCTGAGCCACAGGCAGGGCAGGAGGAAGGCCATGATTCCCCTTCTCTCTACCTTGTCCCTGCCTGGGGCCCAAGCCATCTGGCAGGCAGTTACCTCCTGAGGCCCTGGCTGACCTGCCACAGCAGTTTCCCCGTGAAAAATAAAGCTGCCTTTCCCACATCCTGCTGCAGCCAATGTTCTTGCTTCAGGCTCCGAGCCGGGGGTCTGGCCTCCATCTGGGCTGCTCACAAGACCTTCTTTTCTGGAGACAGGAGCCATGTGGCCCTCCACTCATCCACCTCCAGCTGGTGCTTCTCAGTGTCCCAGCCCGCATCCTGCAGCCCTGGGGAGAGGTCATGGGGGTATTGGTACTAGGGGGCCGCTGGGGAGGAGGCTGGGCTGACCCTGGGGAGAGCGGTAAGGAGTGGCATAGGTTGGGTGCAGGCCTTATGCCCTGCTCTGGCTTCCCTGGCCTCTGCTGGGTGACTTCTGGCTAAAAATGAGGCTAACACCTCATCTGGTGCAGCGGGAACTCACTGAGCTAGCCATGGAGAAGGGGTGGGAAGGAACAGTGGCTAATAAAAGATCGACACCAGTCATCTGTGAGCCCCCTTTCACCCCGGTTCTTCAATGCCAACTGGGACTACATACAGAGACAACACTGACAGACTCAGGGACCATCCTAATCTCCATCCTGCAGAAACCGAGGCCCACACTTATGCTCACAGAGAGAACCAGATCTACCTCGTCCCAGGTGGAGGGGGCGGGGCAGACAGCGCCCTGGGGAGAAGGCTCAGAGGCTGAGAGCCTGCAGGATGTTACCTCTCAAGAACTCTGGGAAAAGCTTGTCCAGCACCTGGTGTGTCTCCTTGACGATGACCCAGCTCTCTGTGTTGGGGCCTGGATGGGGACGCAGAAGAGTTCTTGGGTCCCCAGGCCGAACAGCCTCTCTCCACCCCTGGAGTCACCAGCAGCCTAGGCTGAGAGGCTCTTACCTGCCCGCACCTGGCTCCTCAGCTCGCCCAGCTCTCTTGGGAGGGGCCCGTCTTCCCGCAGGGCGCCGAGCACCAGCCCGTGTGTGGCGGCCCTTAGGACGGTCTCAGGGCCTGCCACCTGGCTCAGCACGACCTGTACCTGATCTGGAGACCCAGGGACAGACTGGTACCAGGGAAGGCCACCTGCTCACTCTTTATCCCATCACCTCGCTTCATCCCTGTCCGCCCGAGGCCTTGGCTGGCGTGGAAGGCCATCTCCCCTTTCCTCCCCAATGTCACCTCCTGCTGCCCCCAATGCTCTGGCCAGACTGAAATGCCCACTTTCCAAATGCAACGTCACTGCGGCTCACGGAGGTGGGTTTATTTTGCATGTTTTTAATGGCTCATGAGAATAAGCACCTTTTAACATACGACCAGCAGAACAGTAAACTTTAGTACTTTTTTCAAGAAGTGAGTTGGGATGAGAGAACAGTGGTCCCCCGAGACATCTAAAGGGAACCACCTTGTCTGAGTAAGTGTGTTGCAATGTACACAGTGCTCTTACGTATCATCTTATCTGATCCTCCAAAAACACTGCAGGAATAAGGCAGGCACCATTGGCTCCGTTTTACAGAGCGGCAAAGGGAACGCCCCTGGGACATGCAGCTATAATTTGAACATGTGGAGTCTTAGTCAAGAGCTGGCTGCAGGGCACCAGGCGGACTCCAAACTGTGCAGGGCTTGCGGGCCTGGAGCTGGAGGAATGGGAGCCGACCCCAGGCAGTGAGTCTAAGGCGGGAAACACTTACTTTGAGACTGGTCCCAGCGAAGGAGGTAAGGCTCTTGGTGTCCCTCAGCCAGTTGCTGCAGCTCAACGACACTGAAGGAAAGGGAGTGCAGTGGGGAGGAGAAAGCAAAGGCAGGGGAACCACCCAGTCAAATGAACAGCCACCTGTGAGCCATAACTGCCTATTCTTCATGTCCTTCACCCACTTCCCACCACCCCTTAGCCATTCTTCATGCACCCCACAGCCACCCTCCCTTCTGCATCTAGCCATCCATTTGCCCCATCCACCCATTATTCCTTTATCCAACAAATACAACCTTTTTTTTTTTTTGGTTAATCCTTACCCGAGGGTTTGTGTTTTTTTTTTTTTCCATTGATTTTTTAGGGAGAATGGAAGGGAGGGGGAGAGACAGAGAGGTTTTTTTTTCATTGATTTTTTTAGGGAGAATGGAAGGGACGGGGAGAGACAGAGAGAAAAACATCGATGTGAGAGAGCTATATTGATTGGTTGCCTGGCACATGCCCAACTGGGGCCAGGGATCGAGCCTGCAACGGAGGTACAAGCCCTTGACTGGAATCGAACCAGTGACCCTCAGTCCAAAGGCAGATGCTCTGACCACTTGACCACTGAACAACCTGCTAGGGCACAAATATACCCTTTATATCTCCTCTCCGTTACACACCCACTGCACTCAAGCACCCATGCTGACCCCAAGTCTGTTCAGTGGAAATAAGGACCCCAGAGCAGAGGGGGGTCTGGTCAAGGAAAGCCAGTGTGTAACTGGAATGAGGCGCATGTGTGGGGAGTGGGGGGCCAGTAGTGATGAGTGGGACACTGGGCTACTTACCTGGAAACCAAGCGATGTAGGGGGACCCCCAAGGACAGAGACAGAGACGGCCAGAAACCTGTGGGAAGTTGGAGTCAGGAGTCCCAGGCAGGAGGACAGACTGAGAGACATAAAACTTCAGATCAAGGGGTGGGTCACCTGTCCACAGCGGCTCCATCTGATTGGCTGAGGTGGGGTCAAGCACCTCTCCCCTCTGAAGGAAGTGCTTCAGGACCAGCCAGAGCCGGCCTTCGTTCAAGGTCTCTATGACAAGGGCTCGGACGGCCCGGTAGTTGGCGTAGATGTGGAGGGCAGTGAGGAGGAAGAAACAACCAAGGCTGAAGCTGGAACGAGAGCATGAGGCGGTCGGCAGGGACAGAGGCCCCACCGGGCACCTCCGTCCCTCGCTTGCCCTCGCTTACCTAGGGCAATCTGACACCAGGGGAAGCATCAGGAGGCTGACCAGGAGCCCTGCCAGGTTTACCAGTGTCTCCTGGAAAATGGCAGACGGGTGGGAGTTGGAGGGCTCGGCTCCCCTGCAGGCCAGACTGAGTGTCCCTGAGTGCCTTTCACAACATCCCTCCCAGTCTCAGAACCACCCAGGGCTCCACACACGGAGGGTGCCTGGTAAATTTTCAACATCTTTACTGAGTGCACCGTCATTTAAAAGATACCAGCTGCACCCTAGCCAGTGTTGCTCAGTGGTTAGACTGTCGGGACACTGGTTTGATTCTTGGTCAATCACGTACCTGGGTTCAGTACCTGGGTTCCAGGTTCAATCCCCAGCCCTGGTCGGTGTCTGGGAGGCAATCCATGGATGTGTCTCTCTCATCAATGCCCCCCTCCCTCCTTCCCTCCCTTCCACTCTCTCTAAAAATCAATGAAAAAAATACCCTCAGGTGCGGATTAACAAACTATCAAAAAAAGATGCCAGCTGCTGCTCTGGCAGATACAATGTCCTTGAAACATTTTCTTTGTTTTGCAGGAGTCAGCTGAGTAGTTCTATGCTTAGGCAAGTAAATGTCCACAGTGTGGGGGAAGTGTTTTCTTGGTGGTTACAAAAGGGCAAATTTGCCCAGCCGGTGTGGCTCAGTGTTGAGTATCGACTTCACGGTCAGCGCACATGTGCGGGTTGTGGGCTCGATCCCCAGTAGGGGGCGTGCAAGAGGCAGCTGACCAATGATTCTCTCTCATCACTGATGTTTCTCTCTCCCCTTCCTTTCCTCTCTGAAATCAATAAAAATGTATTTTAAAAAAAGTTCTATTTAGAAACTGAACAAAACAATTTAAGAGAAGGCCAGAAAGTAGAACTGGAGAGGAGAGAGGCTTCTAGATTGCTTCAGTGTCAAAGAAAACACGTCACACATCTGACATCCCTGGACCGCACTTTTCTCTCTCATCTACTCTCTTCCTAACCCCTCAGCCTCCCCCACCCCAAGCTGTATTTCCCAAGGCTCCCGGGCTTCCTCCGTCCACAGAGGCAGTAACACAACACAGGGCGACCTGGGACATGTTCAGGGGTAGCAACAATATCGACCTTACAAGGTCGGTGTGAGAGTTACATGATGCAATATACTTAAGCACTTAGCATGAGGACCAAGGGGGACGGCAGTGTTCAGCCTGTGGGGGTGGCGACACCCCTACTCCAGGCTCCCCTGGTCAGCTGAGGGGCTGGGCCAGAGGCCTCTAAACTGCTGAGTGGGTGCCCCTGGCCAGTCAGTGACCCCAGGCACCTCGCATGCTGAGCACTTTTTGAGTTGCCATGAGCTTTAACCTGTGGGCCTCACATGATCAGAAGGTCCTCCTCCCAGAGTGGGGGCATGGCCTAAAGAGGGCCAGGGCCAGGGCTCATTCTTGCCACATGGGCGATGGGCAGAGGCTGGGGTGACCAGCTTGGACTTACTGCCCCCAGAGCCCGTGCCCTCACACCGGACCACCCGTCCTGAAAGTCAGAGCAGGGAGCACCCACATTTCTTCCTGCCTGTCTCCCACCCCTCCCCCAGGAGCACTCAGGTGCTTCTCTCCACACTCCCAAATTGTGACCTGGCCTGCGGCCCCCCCACACCCCCTCCCTCACGCCGTCCCTCCAGCCCGGCCGCTCACCTGGCTGCCGTCCTTGGCTGACACGTCGGCCATGTTGTTTCTCCGGGCCTGGTGCATGGTCAGTGCAGCCCGAGTGGCCCCGCCAGCCACGCTCACAATGCACTGGTGGGGACAGGGAGGGTGAAGGTCAGAGTGGCCCTAGCTGTGAACACAGACACTTCTGTGGGTGAGCCAAGTAAAGGGCTCAAACCAGCTTGAGAAAACCAGGCTCTGGTGACCCTAGAGCAGTGGTTCTCAACCTTCTGGCCCTTTAAATACAGTTCCTCATGTTGTGACCCAACCATAAAATTATTTTCGTTGCTACTTCATAACTGTAATGTTGCTACTGTTATGAATCGTCATGTAAATATCTGATATGCAGGATGGTCTTAGGCGACCCCTGTGAAAGGGTCCTTCGACTGCCAAAGGGGTCGCGACCCACAGGTTGAGAACCGCTGCCCTAGAGCCAAACCTTGAATGCTGCCCGTGTATTGGTTCTCTCTCTGCACCTCCACCAGGCCCACCTCCCATCTTGCTCCAGGAGAAAACTCACGTTCTCCTGCCATACCACCCTGTGGGCCTCACCCCAGGGAAACTCAGTTTCTGTCTCCAAGGCAGAGGCCCCAAACCATCCTTAGCCCAGAGCTTCTGCCCTCCAGCTTCTGCTCTGGCTGCACCCTGCCCTGGCCGAGCACCCAGGCCATCTGCTGTCCAACTTCATGCCTGCATCCTGCCTGCCTGGAACTAACTCCACTCTCTCCCTGCCCCAGTGCAGGCCCAGCCAGCTTCCAGGCCAGTCCAGAGCCCACACAGGTGGCCCTGACCTCCAAAGGGGACCTGGAGCTCTCCCTCTGAGATCTAAAGCTAATTAGCTGATGAGGGTCAGTGATCACCTTCATTCCTCTCCTACTGATCAAACCTCTCTTAGCTGTCAGGCGAGACGGAATGGTGTGGTATAACTCAGGCTCAGCCCCTGCCCTCAGGAAGCTTATGCATCAGTAGATGGTAAACAAACACGCTGTGATGTGGGCAGAGGAAATCAATTGCTCAAAGGTAAGAGGAACATGGAGCAAAATGAGCTGGAGTGACTGACGGGGTCCCAATCACGCGGAACCTCGCAACCCTGTACAAGTCTTTATCCTAAAGGCAATGGGCGGGCAGTGAGCTGATTTGATTTCCACTCTTAGAAGGATGATTGGGCTGCTCTGAGGACGAAGAGGGTGAGAACAGAAATGGAGAGACCACCTAGGAAGCAACTGTGCTTTTCAGCAGCGAGGAGCCACCGGGAGGCAAGGAGATGGAGTGAATGGATGGAGAGATTCAGGAGGGAAAAGGACAGAAGTGAATGGAGATTTAGCTGAGGGTGACAGGAGAGGGGAGGAGAGGGCATGGATGACAGCCAGGCTTCTACTTAGTGTCCCCGGGGGACGGGGTGCTGGTCACTGAGAGGGGTGGAGGGAGGGAGAGGAGGGGGGCGGGGAGTTCAGGGCCCTGTTCTAGTCCCTTACATGAAGAGACCCAGGCCCCACAGGCGGAGTTCAGGGCGGAATGTGAAGCATGGTCCACAGCCACCAGAGATGCTCTCTGGGGTCTCCCCGGGGCTGAGGGGATGCTCGAGGCATTGAGTGCATGGGCCAGGGAGGCGGAGTCCCCACCGTGAAGTGCGTGTCTGAACCTGGCAGCAGTGCGGAAGCGGCAGGACTCCAGAGTGACTGAATGAGGGAGGGGCTTTGAGATGGGTCTCAGTCTTCTTAGGAATCTTTGCTCTGGGCCTGGAGCTTCATCCTGAGTGAAGACTGGCCAAGCTCTTTCGGAATCTTGCTGGGCTTCCGCTTCCTCATCTGGATGGAGCGGCCTAAAGGACCTGTGAGGGGAGCGGCCAGGCCGGGACCAAGAGCTCGCATTCCCCCCACTGGCCCTCGCCTCACCACCAGTCTGTGCTGTCTGCCCTACCGCTGGACCGTGACCCACACTTCCTTCTGCTCAGCTCTGCCACCCTGCACCTTCCACTCATTCTTCAGGCCCAGTCCCTGGGGACCTCCTCCATCCCTCACTGGGCCCCATTCACTGCTGAGCCCTCTTGCCCCTCCACTTCTCATCTGGACTATCTGGAGCTATAATTCTATAAATTTGTTTAATTTCGTGGCTTTTGTCCAAAGACAGGAGGGCCCACATTCCATGCCAAACATGCAGCAGGCATTCAATAAATATGTTCCTGAGAGAATGAAAGGTAGCCAGGGAGCTGGTCCCAAGATGCTGGCACAGGAGCGCCCTTCCTCTCCCAGCTCAGAGCTCCCTCACCGGTACCGCGGCTCCAGGTACCACTGCAGACTGGGAGCCACCAGAGGCTGTGGCTGAAGAAGGATCAGAGTACGGCTGGGTCTGGGTAGGAGCATCTGAACCTTTTCACTTTTCTAGAAGTGCCCGGAACAAAGGGCCCAGGCTGGGCTCACCTGTGGGCCCCAAGTGAGCCCACACGGCACCACTAAGGCAGGTGTCTTGGGTAGAGGGATGCCCCAGGTGAGTACCTTGGCCAGATTGCTGATGCAGACGGTCATGGTGAAACAGATTGGTAATACGGGAGCCATAATCTCGAGGAACATGGCTATATCGTTGAGGATGTCAGCAAAAAGCCTGGGGAAAGGGTCAGAGGTTAGAGGTCAGAGGTGAGAGACCTTCACAATAGAACACTCCCCTTCCCTTAGTCCCAGCTCCTCACCTCCACTGCTTGGCATTACAGTCCAGTTTGCTCCTGTTGGGGAGGAGAGGTTGGTTTGCAATTGGGATTCCAGACGAAAACACGTCCCGTGGGCAGTGCTGGCCCTCCTCAGGCCACGGTACGGTCTGAAGGGCTCGGGAAAACCCACACCCAGCAGACATCTGTCCCAACACCCTGTCACTGCTGCCTGGAACGCCACCATTAGCTGGGAGGATCTCCGGTGGTCATTAATGCTCCCCCTTACTAACCCTGCACCCCACCCTCTGGGCCTCTGCTGAGAGAGGCTCTCCCTGGGTCCCTCTGCTGTCTCCTCCCCCTTCCTCCTGCTTTGAGGAGGCCCAGCAAGAAGTCCACACATTTTGGACTGGTAAACACTATACTTAGTGTAGCCCTGCATTTGACAGCTCATCAGCCCAGAGAAGGGAGATGACTCCCCTGGGATCACATGGAGAGTGGGGGACAGGCCAGGAGAGAGCCAGGTTCCGACATGCAGGCCAGGGTATTTCAGCTACACAGCACCACAGTGTCCACCTCTGCTGCCGGGCAGTGATCCCTGGCCCATGCACACACCCCTGGGACCACTCCCCAGTGCAGGAGATGTTGCAGCCCCAGCACAGCTCAGAATCTGCAGCATTAGCCCTGACCCTTAACTTGAAATCTCCCAGAGGGAAAGGGAGCATCCTGGGTGGGGGATGGACACACATGGGGAACTCCTGACGGAATACATGGGCCTGGTCTAGGGCTCTGCCCAATGAAGCAGCCTGCGGCTGCCACAGAAAGAGTACAGCTCTAGGTTCAAGTCCCACCTCACTGTTACGAGCTGTGTGACATGGGTAACTTCCCTCTCTAGGTTTGCTTCACATCTGTGAAATGTACACACTCAACCCTCCTCTAAAAAGTTATGAGGATTAGAGATGGCATACAGGAGCTTGTGAGGCACAGTTAGTTAATAGCAGCCCGTGTTCACTGACACATATTATGTGCCACGCAATGTGCTAAGCACTGAGCATAAACTATCTCACTGCACCCCACAATCACAATTAACAGAAGACAATCAATCACTCCTGAGGCTGCCCAGTACTGACCTAAGGAGGAAGCAGGCGGCACAATACCTTTAATCCCTTCTAGAGAAATGGTGACATGGATCCCATGTCAGACAGGGATCCTGATGACTGGAAACTGGTAGGAGAGGTGGAGCTGAAAATACAGCCAGGGCTAAGACGATATGACCACTGTGGGGAGAGTGGCCAGAAGTCTCTGACCTGGATGACAAACTCACCCCTTCCACCAGGCAAAGATGATGCGGCCCAGCATGCCAGTTGAATCTGGGGGAGAGAGGCATTGGTGAGGAATGAGAAAAGCCTTGAGCCCGTGGGGCCTGGCAGACCCTGGCGCCTTGCGTCACTGTCCTTGGACATGTAGCCTGGCACGGTAAGTTCTAGACAGACATGGCTGCAGGACGGGCAGAAGCGCCTAGACTTAGCAGTTCTCAGTCACACCCAGAGAACGCTGTACCATGTGCACCATGGGCCAGGAAGAGTCTTTGCGGCATTGTTCATGACAACAAAAGCTGAGAAAACACAAATGCTCATTGGCGGAATGCACAGGTGAGTTCTGGTACATTCACTCAGTGGCACATCAGGCAGCTTTTCGTGAAAAGCCGATGGACTGCAGCTACTCACATCAACACGGCTGACTCCTGGTAAAACCTGACATGAAAGTCAGCCATGAAGACTGTAGGCAGCACAGTATCTATACTAATAAAAGGGTAATATGCTAATTAGACCACATCGACTGGCCATCTTCCGGACGTCCAACTTCCTTCTGGACAAAGCCATGGTGGTGGGGGCCAGGGCAGAGGCAGTTAGGGGCAATCAGGCCGGCAGGGGAGGGCAGTTGTGGGCGAGATCAGGCCAGCAGGGGAGGGCATTGGGGGTGAAATCAGGCCAGCAGGGGAGGGCATTGGGGGTGAAATCAGGCCAGCAGGGGAGGGCAGTTAGGGGTGATCAGGCAGGCAGAAGCAGTTAGGGGCGATCAGGCAGGCAGGCAGAGGGGTTAGGGGCAATCAGGCAGGCAGGCAGGTGAGCGGTTAGGAGCCAGCGGTCCCAGATTGTGAGAGGGCAGTTGGACATCCCCCAAGGAGTCCCCGATTGGAGAGGGTGCAGGCTGGGCTGAGGGAATCTCCCACCCCCCGACATGAATTTCATGCACCGGGCCACTAGTACTTTTCATAAAGCTCTAAAACAAAGAAAACTAAACCATGTGGTGTTTAGGTTTATATCTATATGGTAAAACCGCTACAAAGAGCAGGATGCTGTGTGGAAAGTTCAGAGGTGACTGCTGATACTCTGGCTCTCAGGCTGGGCAGCAGGTTCACAGGTGGTCAGCAGAATGCAAATAAATAAAAAGGATTTGAGCTGCAGGTTGGTGACAGAGAACTGGGGGTGTGGGGCAGAGGGAGAGGCCTCCTCAGGCTAGAAAGAGTCAGAGAAGTCTCTGGAATCAGCCAACCTTCATTTGCACAACAGATGCTTACTGGCTACCTACTCTGTGCCAGGCACAGAGACAGGGGGGTACCACAGTGACCCGGAAAATGATGGCTCCAGGCTCCAAATCCAGTGTAAGAGCAAAAAAACAGTAGTCAGTATGAAAAAACAGATCTAGCCCAAAGCGTGTGGGCTTTCAATCCCTGTCTTTGTAAATAAAATTTTACTGGAACACAGCTGTGCCCATTCATTTACAGTGTAAAACAAACAAACAAATGAAAAAAAAACAGAAAAAAAAAATGGACCTGGAGCTGCCATCCCAGAGGAACTGCCTTGCATGTCTTAAGCCTCAAACCTTTAGAAAGTTAAAACAAAGGAAAATAATCTTTAGACTGGAACTAAAGCAACCTTGTGCCTCAGGAACTGTTTGCAAAGAAAACAAGAAAGCAGATACTATGACTGTGACTGAAAATTAAACATTGCTAAGAATCGGCACCACTACATTGCTATCTGCACTAACAGAAATGCCTTCCTTCTACAGATGTAATTGTTTCCTTCCCTTTCTCACATCCATGGCATTTGCCTCCTAATTGGATTTGGGCTTCTGCCTGGATCAATGCTTCCCACAGTTATTCTTTTTTTTTTTAACATTAAAAAAATTAATCTAACAAATAATTTCTTCCACAATAGCAACTATGGTAAAAACCCAATAACATTAGTCAACCCGGTGTCATGTTCTACTAATTAATATAATACAAAGAGCCCAGCTGGCATGGCGTAGTGGTTGAGCCCTGACCTATGAGCCAGGAGGTCATGGTTCATTTCCCGGTCAGGGCACATGCCCGGGTTGTGGGCTTGATCCCTCCTGTGGGGCATGCAGGAGGCAGCCGATCAGTGATTCTCTCTCATCATTGATGCTTCTATCTCTCTCCCTTCCTCTTTGAAATCAATAAAAAATATATTTAGAAATATATACATAGTACAGAGACATTTATAAACTACAGAGCCACACAAATTTGTAAGCAACTAATAAATTCTGAAATGTTAAGAATAAAGCTATATTCTAACTAGCTTCATTTAAACTTTCCCTTTCCCCTTAATATTTTTTATATTCATGCTTCCCACTATTTTTTCACTAAACTCCATTAAATCCTGGATTTAAATATGGCTAAAGATAAAACAACAATATTGAGGTGAGTATCAACAAAATAGCTGAGTTTTATCACAGTCTAAGCTACCGAAAGCTATTCTCTAAAACACAATTTATTCACCTAAGGCAAACATGGAAAAGTTAGAATCAAATCCCTGTCAGATACATGGGAACATTTAAGGTCTAAAAGGTTTACTGTCACTAGGCCAGTGATGGCGAACCTATGACACGCGTGTCAGAGGTGACACATGAACTCATTTTTTTGGTTGATTTTTCTTTGTTAAATGGCATTTAAATATATAAAATAAATATCAAAAATATAAGTCTTTGTTTTACTATGGTTGCAAATATCAAAAAATTTCTATATGTGACACGGCACCAGAGTTAAGTTAGGGTTTTTCAAAATGCTGACACGCTGAGCTCAAAAGGTTCGCCATCACTGCACTAGGCAGTGGTTCTCAACCTTCTGGCCCTTTAAATACAGTTGCTCATGTTGTGACCCAACCATAAAATTATTTTCGTTGCTACTTCATAACTGTAATGTTGCTACTGTTATGAATCGTAATGTAAATATCTGATGTGCAGGATGGTCTTAGGCGCCCCCTGTGAAAGGGTCGTTCGACCCCCAAAGGGGTCGCGACCCACAGGTTGAGAACCTAGAGGAAGAAAGACCCTGGACACACTCGGCAGTGTGTTCCACTTGCAGAAGATAGGAAGTGTGAGCTGGCACAAATCAAGCTGACAAGGTGTTAGCCCGAGTCCGAGACAGCAAAATGTTCTTACACCGGAATACTAATAACCTGGAAGTAAGTCCCCAGCTTAAACTGCATTGTCTCTTGCACTATATGAACTTAGGTTAACAGCTCTGCAGACTTCATAAAAAGGATAAGGCATTTTAATCCATTTTCTGCCAACTAACTTCCTGTCAGCCAGAGATTACAGCATGGTCCACCTCGAGTCTGTCACAACCGTGATCATTCCCAGACATGCATTCAGCACAACGTATACGGTTGTGCTAAGTGTTTGGTGGACCCGATGTTGAATTATCTCCTAACTTCTCCATAAACCCCTTGATTTCCACTAACAAATCTGGACCTATCACTTCTACTCCTATATGGAGGCCGAAGTATGTTATGACTATTGCTATGTGAATATTTTTCTACATTATGGTCATATTTCTGCTAAATTATTCTTAGAGTATTTTTTAAAATATATATTTTATTGATTTCAGAGAGGAAGGAAGAGGGAGAGATAGAAACATCCATGATGAGGGAGAATCATGGATCGGCTGCCTCCTGCAAGTCCCCCCTGGGGATCGAGCCCACCACCCGGGCATGTGCCCTTGACCAGAATCGAACCTGGGACCTTTCAGTTTGCAGGCCGACGGATTCATTCTGTGCCCTTCAGTATGTTTCATATTATGACACAGTTAGAGATTATCTATTCTTCCTTCTAGTTCAGGGGTGGGCAAACTTTTTGACTTGAGGGCCACAATGGGTTCTTAAACTGGACCGGAGGGCCGGAACAAAAGCATGGATGGAGTGTTTGTGTGAACTAATATAAATTCAAAGTAAACATCATTGCATAAAAGGGTACGGTCTTTTTTATTTTTTTAGTTTTATTCATTTCAAACGGGCCGGATCCGGCCGCGGGCCGTAGTTTGCCCACGGCTGCTCTATCCACTGAGCCAAACCGGCTGGGGCTTAGAGTCTTTTTAGAATGCTGAAAAGATATTAAATTCACTGAATAAAAAATTTCAATTTTGTTCCTCAAATATAATAAAATTCTGATATATGTTAGGCAAGTTAAATTAGACAAGTGATCTCCGGTCATCTAATATTAATGTTGTAAAGAAATTCATCTAAATTTTCTGGTGAGGTCAGTTTCAATTATCCTAAAAATGATAAATGATCTATTATTTGTGTGTGAATCTAAAGTATATGCCTTTTGAAATCTGTCAGTCAAAAATAAAAATGTAAGCAGATGACTGTTAAAGACATTGCTAACAGGTATGCTGGACAATAAATTCTAAGTTTTATTTAACTTATATCTGCTTAGTTTTTTACTGAGTTAAGGATAAAGGCCCAGTTAATCAACTCAATAGATTGGTCAAGGCAACACACTTGAACTATAACAGGACTCAAAAAGCAGCTGGGCCCTGGCCAGTGTGGCTCAGTTGGTTGAGCATCACACTGTGCACCAAAAGGTTGCAGGTTCAATTCCCAATCAGGGCACATACTCAGGTTGCGGGTTCAATCCGATCGATGTTTCTCTCTCTCTCTTTTTCTCTCTAAAATCATAAAAACATATTAAAAAAAGAAAGAAAACAGTTGGTCTCTTGCTCTGGCCAGTGTGGCTCAGTTAGTTGAGCATCATCCCGTGCATAAGGTCATCATCAGTCTGATTCCCAGTCGGGGCACTTGCCCAAGTTGTGGGTTCAATCCTATTGGGGTGCATGCCGGAGGCAGCGGATTGATGCTCCTCTCTCCCTCCAACATCAATTAAAAGGATCTCTCCCCATGAACTTGTATAATGCTCTGTAGCATTTTGAAACCTGTATAAGTTGGACATGACCAAATTAGAGATGCCTGATAAACTCACAAAGTATTTGAGAACTTCAGCTGTATCCCCAGAAAGATCAATGCTAAGCTATAAAAAAGGAAAATTCATATAAAAATCATAACAGATATCTTTGAAAAAAAATCAAATTCTAACTCATTTTGCTACTATTTCAAATATGACTAAGGAAAAAAGGTACAAGTAGTAATGCTTGCATTTTAAAAAAATTAACTGAGTGGATTGGGGTGGGGGGGATAACCATACAGTTATTATTGCACTCCACCAATGTGCAGAATTCCAAAATGTGCCAGCACTGAAAGCCTGTCTTGCACTGAGGTTTTCCAAGAGGTACACTGAGCCGACCATCTGGTCTGCCCTGGTGTGGCTCAGTTGGTTGGGCACCATTCCGTGCACTGAAAGGTTGCCAGTTTGAGTCTCCATCAGGGCACATGCCCAGGTTGTGGGCTCGATCCCTGGTAGTGCAGGAGGCAACCAGTCGACATTTCTCTCTCTCTCTACGAAAGCATCTGGTCTGTAGTAACAGCTTACTGTCTTCAGTACAGGTCTTCATAATGTCAGTCACATTGCTCTTGCAAAATCCCTTAATGTAAAAGAGTTTTCAGTGCTGATAGGTGGGCTATGATCGATGATATGGGATTGAATCCATATGCACACTGGGCTTCATTTTTAAAAATATATATATTTTTATTCAGAGAGGAAGGGAGAGGTAGAGACAGATAGAAATCAATGATGAGAGAATCATTGATCGGCTGCCTCCTGTATGCTCCACACTGGGGATCAAACCCACAACCTGCATGTGTCCTTGAATGGATTTGAACCCGGGAGCCTTCAGTCCGCAGGCCGACGCTCTATCCACTGAGCCAAACCAGCTAGGGCTGGGCTTCATTTCACTGTCAAGAATTTGAATACGCTATTGCATGGATGGAAGGTGACCAGATTCCAGCTTAGACCACACAGGCACATAACTGAAAGTTATCTCAAATGCACAGTTGACATACACTGTTTCTCAATCATGTTGCTCAAGAAGAAAACCATCATACATGCACAGTCCTTATTTTCTTAGTCCCACTGCCAGATACTAGGAGCTTGCTTGCCAAAGAAAGCAAAAGGATCCTTGCCAACAACTCTTCAGCCTATTAATACTAGTTTGAAGATGACAGGAAAGACGCTATGTGTCTATATATTGGTTGAGGGAGGTAATTCTCTACTTCAGTGTGGATGTCTGGGAGTACCCCTGGCTAATAACCAGCAGATACTCCCCAAACACCTGCCTATGACCTCAGGGAGTACAAATCTGGGACTTGAGCAGCGGCCCGGTGGCCGACTGCACCTTTAATCTCTTGCTAGGCATGCCGCCCAGGTTGGCTGAGGCATCGCTCTGGACCAACGCCAAGCCACCACCTGGAGCAGTAGCAAAAGTCTCATCTTATTGGAGCCAGCACTTCCACCACACTCAGACTAAGACTGCAGCCAGCCCAAGGCCGAGCGAGAGCCACCAGCTGCTCCCCACCTCGCAGGCTTGTCCCGCCAAGGTCAGGGAGGGAGGCAGGAATCCCGAATAGCTATTCTTATTGATCCCAAATAAATGCTTGTTGCCTCTAACTTTGGAAGGCCCTTTACTTTTAGGTCAGCAACAGCTTGTCCATGGATGTTTTTGTGACACAATGGCAGAATCCGGTTGTTGTGACTGAAACTATACAGCATACAGAGTGTACAATATCTACCATCTGGTCCTTCACAGAAGGTGTGCCTATCGGTTTACACTGCACCTTACACTGAAAGTAGCGCTTATTACGTTCAAGGACCATCTGAGAACCCACAACCGGAAAGGCCTCATACAGCCGGCGGCGGGAGGGACAGATACAGCAGGCAGAGGATTCCCCACTTGTTTGAGCTGAAGGACATGGATCCTTAAGTGGAGGCAAGAAGCTGGCTGTGGAAAGGAGGGTTGGGAGCTTCTCACAACACATAAGGTGGTGATATGTATCAGCCTTCCCCATTCTCCACTGGAACCACATGTCCTCCTCCTTCCGCAGCCTCGCTCTTTAGGCACTGAGGCCTTCTAACTGGGCGGCATGCCTAGCAAGAGATTAAAGGTGCAGTTGGCCATGGGGCCGCTGCTCAAGTCCCAGATTTGTATTTCCTGAGGTCATAGGCAGGTGTTTGAGGAGTATACTAGTATGCTGGCAATTAGCCAGCGGTACCCCCAGACTGAGGCCTTCTAACTTTTACCCACTCCTGCACTTGAGGGAGACTGCTAAGCACCCTGGCAGGCTCCTGAGATATATATGCCTTCCATTCTTCACAACAGTCCTGAGTTTGAGGGAATCATTTCCTTTCACAGACGAAGCAACTGGAGCTTGAAGAAGACAGGTGAACAAAAATGGGACATTTTACAGAACATCCGAATTCCCAGTTTTAAATCCTGGCCAACGTGGCTCAGTGGGTTAAGCATCGACCTATGAATCAGGATGGTTTGATTCCTGGTCAGGGCACATGCCTGGGTTGCAGGCTCAATCCTCAGTGTGGGGTGTGCAGGAGGCAGCCGATCAATGATTCTCTCTCTCCCTTTCCCTTCCTCTCTGAAATCAATATATTTAAAAATAAAAATAAATCCTCCCTGGGAACGGCAGTGCAATCCCAAGGACAGCGCAGAGCGCCAGGGTCCTGATGTGGAGCAGTGGCAGTCTCCCCTTTCTTCTCTCCTCCTCTCTCCGGGTGGCAGGGTACCAGCCTGCATCTTTTATTTCTTCGTGGTTTTCCAAAAGGCTGTGCACACTTAACAGATGATTACTACACTTCCTATTTATAGCACCATCTAGCACCCCAGAAAATCTAAAATGCCTTTCATTCTTCCCAGAACCTCCCGTCTCCTACTCAGGACCAACTACACATTTTTTTCTGGTACCACCCAATTCCCCACATGGCAGGCAGCTGGCACTTTCAGTCACCTCAGCAGTCCTCCACAGGAGCCTGGGAGTAAAGTGGGGGGGGGGGGGCTAAGTTGGGGATCTGGGCTCCTGGTGACGTAGGTACTCTGAACACGGTAGTGTCTGCGGCTGATGGGGATGAGGGTATTCCAGCAGTGGGCGGCTGCCCAGTTCATCTAAACGGGTAATATGCTAATTAGACCAGGAGACCTTCCAGACCTTCCAGACAAAGCCATGGTGGTGAGGCGGAGTCAGAGGTAGTTAGGGGCGATCAGGCCAGGAGGGGAGGGCAGTTGGGGGCGAAGGGTTAGGAGCCAGCAGTCCTGGATTGCAAGAGGGATTGGGCCTAAACCGGCAGTTGGACATCCCCCCAGGGGTCCCAGATTGGAGAGGGTGCAGGAGGGCTGAGGAACACCCCCCTCCCCCAAATGCACGAATTTCGTGCACCGGGCCACTAGTCACTGAATAAGCCAATGAAGATCTATAACATTTACTCAGCTGAATTTTGTTCTTTCTTTAGCAGGATGCAAGGCACTGTTCTAGGCACCGGGGAGGCATGGCTCCCGGACCTACTCAGGCATGGCTCTAGAAATACACACAGCACAGCCCGGGGCTGGAGGCCAGAACGTGGGAGAGGGGGGAGGGGGAGCTGGGCTTCTCGGTGGAGGAAAAAGAGGCCACAGGCGGCGGGGGCTGAGAGCAGCGGCGGGTCAGGCTCAGGGGCAGGCTTACCTTTCAGCAGCCAAGTGGCGGTGGCGGCCGACACGGAGGCGCTGGCATTTCCCACCCCTATGCCCAGCAGGACTGCGTGGGTCGCCAGGGAGCCTGAGAGGCTGGAAGCAAAGGCCTGGAGAATGGAGGAAAGCGGGAGGAGTGGGCTCGGGGGCGGGAGGGCGAGCAGCTCTCCATGGGGCGCACCTGGGACCTGTCACAGCTC